GCGGGCCCAGGCTGGGGATTCGAACCCGCCACCTTAGGTGTATGTGGCTGGTGCCTTAGCCGCTTGAGCCACAGGCGCCGAGCTGTGAAAGATTTTCTTATACCAGCCATAGACTGGGCAGTCATCATTTGGTAATCAGGACAGATGTCCTTAGCTTTTAGTCATGCTAGTGACTTACAGAGAGACCAGGGTAGAAGGAACAGTTTTTCATTATCTGATGAGATACAGCACAAAATTCCATTTATCTGCCTTTAATAAACTTCCCTGAGCAAGGAAGTGAAGTGGTCTTGCCTTAACTTTCCTACTTAGGCCATGTTTATTAAGGGACTTTGCAGGTCTGCCTAAACGTAGCTTGGCCTGTTCGTTCTGTCAGTGGCAGCACCGCTTTAAAACCCAGGGGAAGGTAGTTATGTACCTGGCACTGAGGAGAGACTAGCACCAGCCGGCCTGCGAGGATCAGCTTCAGTGCTGCACGCTAGTCCACGTCAGGGAGCAGGAGGAGGGGAAGAAAGTCAAAGTGCCCAGAGCCCAGAGACGGAAACCTCTGGAGAGCCTGTCTGCTGGATTTTGTGTCTCTTTTAGCCTACAACTGCCTGTCCCATCTGTGTCTCTTCAGCAATGGGTGACAAGCCGGCAGATGCGATTTGAAGGAGGATTTCAGGGCCGATGCAACAAGCTGGTGGATGGCTGCTACTCCTTCTGGCAGGCAGGACTCCTGCCCCTGCTCCACCGTGCGCTGCATGCCCAAGGTGAGCCTGGGAGCCAGGGCTGGGGAAGTCCTCTCGGTCACTACCCAAGTCCAGAAGCCAGAGTGCTTTTCAGAAGAGTTGAAATGAACTCTGTCCTGGATTGAGTTGCCCCTGTGGACCCTCCTGGTCAGGGACACTCATATGCAGAGTAAGATTCGGCTCCAGCATGTTAACATCCTTCATCGCTTCTCCAGACTGGCTGTGGCAAAGTGAGCTCCCTTAATGAACGGCTAGGAGGTGGCAGCTGGTGCTGCTTCTGTGTTATCTGGAGGGAGCAGCCCACTCCTGTCCTGGGGCCTGCAGTGACTGTCATCTCAGCTGGAGGTAAAGCCATAGTTTTCAGCGCAGAGCTCTGTGTTGGGCACATCAGAGCTAAGCACCCACATTGCATGTCTGGTCACAGTGGTGAGAGAAAGAGCAGTTGCACAAAGGCCACCAGGTCTGGCTGGCTGTATAGTTGTTACCAATTGGAAATGTTTTTATTTCATATTCATTGAACAAGCCTAAATGTGAGTTTGTTCCACTTGCACCATTGGAATAGAGAAACCCAGAGTTGTTTCTGTAGGGTGTTACCTGGGAGAGGAGAGCTGACAGAGTTGGATGGCAAGTACAAACTCTGGGGACTGCCTGCTCACTCTTGAATCATCTTTCTCACCTACTTTACCTGAGAACAGTGTCTGAGGAACCTGGTGGAAAGCAGAGGCCGTGGTGCCCTGCTGGTTGCTGATGCATTCCAAGGTGACAGAAATATCTCTAGGTCCAGGGGGAAGCTGTTCTTTGGACTTAGTTGGGTAATTAATTGCTCAGCTGTGAAAGGTGGGACTTTTTTCTTCTGTCCCCTCCCCATACCTTTTCTTCCTGTTTGTCTCTGTTCTGACCCCATTCTTTAGTTTCTTGATTGCCTTTGAGTTGAGGGCACTTTTTTTTTTGAGACAGAGCCTCAAGCTGTCCCCCTGGGTAGAGTGCCATGGCATTACAGCTCACAGCAACCTCCAACTCCTGGGCTCAAGCGAGTCTCCTGCCTCCGCCTCCCAAGTAGCTGGGACCACAGGCGCCCGCCACAACGCCTGGCCATTTTTTGGTTGCAGCCATCATTGTTGTTTGGCGGGCCCAGGCTGGGGATTCGAACCCGCCACCTTAGGTGTAAGTGGCTGGCGCCTTAGCTGGTTGAGCTATAGGCGCCGAGCCAAGGGCACTTTTGATACTCAAAGTAAGCAGTGGCTCTGTCCTGTTTTCCCACCCAGAGTGTTGAGGAACCTGGTTCCCCGAACTGGAATCTGCACAGTTTCTGGCTTAACCACAAGTAGGGAGGTCAGGAATTGCCCGGGAGTCCCATGTTTCCAAAGCAGGAATAACCTGGGGTTTGGTGAGCTCTTTATTTGTTACTGGTGAGGTCAAGCCCTGGCAAAGCTGTCAGTCTTTTATAAACCTATCCCTGGCTGGGGAAGGATACAGTGATTGTGCAGTTGTGGAAAGACTGGAGAGAGCTGTTCCTGCAGCTCTCCCTGAACAGCCCTTGGGTTGCTGGCTGGGGTTGTGTCTACTGCACCCCAAGTTCTGGCGGGCTCAGCCACTTTCAAAGCTTTGCCTGTGAATTGTGGTGCTTCCAGCTTTTCTGATTGCCTGGGACAAGGCCTGTGTTGGGCCTGATGCTCCCCTCCTTCTCAGACACAGTGAGTTTCTTGGACTTGGGACAGACAGAGGTCTTGGAAGAAGGGAAGTGTTTTGAGTGGTGGGCAAAATACTGACTTTGGGAGTCAAAAGGAGATGCAGATTGGGCTAAATGCATACTCCTTCCTAGCACTCTGGGAAGTTAAGGTGGAAGGATCGCTTGAGGTCAAGAGTTTGAAACAAGCTTGAGCAAGAGTGAGATTCCATCTCTATTAAAAATAGAAAAATCAGCCAGGCACAGTGGGGGGTATTCTCTGGTTCCAGCTACTCCGGAGGCTGAGGCAGAAGGATTGCTTGAGCCCAGGAGCTTGAGATTACTGTGAGCTAGGCTGACACCCTGGCACTCTAGCTTGGGCAATAGTGCAAAACTCTGCCTCAAAAAACAAAACAAAAAGGAAATGTAGAAAGAGATTCACACTATATTGTGATCCTATCAAAGCAGTATATGTGGCTCAGCGCCTGTGGCTTAAGCGGCTAAGGCGCCAGCCACATACACCTAAGGTGGCGGGTTCAGGCCCGCCAAACAACAATGACGGCTGCAACCAAAAAATGGCCAGGCGTTGTGGCGGGCGCCTGTGGTCCCAGCTACTTGGGAGGCTGAGGCAGGAGACTCGCTTGAGCCCAGGAGTTGGAGGTTGCTGTGAGTGTGATGCCATGGCACTCTACCCAGGGGGATAGCTTGAGGCTCCGTCTCAAAAAAAAAAAAAAAAAAAAGCAGTATATGTGTAATCCCATTTTTTTAGTGAAAAAATGGACTCCAAAGTTAATAGAAAGTATCTGGGATGTGAAATTATAGCTGATGTTTGTCTTATGTTTGTGTTTTCTTGTTTTTTTAGGGAAGTTATTTTATAAATGAAAGGAAATTATATAAACAAAATAAGTAGCAAGGTGACAAAAGTATTTGTGACAAATGATAAAGAGCTAATTTCTTTAATTTGGAGAGAACCATACAAATCAATGAGAAATAGATGAGCAGCATAACTGAAAAACAGGCAAAGGATCCAGATAAACTTGGCGCCCGTAGCTCAGTGGTTAGGATGCCAGCCACATACACCGGGTCTGGAGGGTTCACACCTGGTGTGGGCCTGCGAAACAACAATGACAACTACAACAAAAACATAACCAGGCGTTGTGGCAGGCGGCTATAGTTCCAGCTACTAGGGAGGCTGAGGCAAGAGAATCACTTGAGCCCAAGAGTTTGAGGTTGCTGTAAGCTGTGATGTCACAGCACTCTACTGAGGGCGACATAGTGAGACTCTGTCTCAGTAAACAAACAAATAAACAAATAAATAAATAAGATTCGGACAGACAGCTTACTCCCCAAATAAACTGTTGTTACTACTTTTTTCTGCTATACCCACTACAGTCATGGTAGCTGAGACTGGCTGAGTGTTCACCATTTGCCAGAGGCCGTACTGAGTGTTCCATGGGTATTTTCTCACTTGGCCCTGAGACCAAGGAAACAGATCCCCTTGTAATCCCCATTAGACAGAGGAGGAAACAAAGTACAGGGAAGCTGAGTGACTCCCCTCGTAATTCCTGATTGGCACCCCCAAGGGTTGGTAGGTGGTTGTGTCATTCCAGACTACCTGGCATCAGAGCCTGCTGTGCTTATGACCACTGCAAATGACCATGAAAACACCAAAAATTTGTTCAGCTCCCTCGTAGTTAAGGAAATGAAATCGAAACAGTGAGACTATTTGCTGTTACTATCAGAGATTAAAACAAACTTGATACCCTATATTGGGGAGAATGTGGGAAAACAGACACTTTTGTACATTTATCAGTAAAGGTGTGAGTAGGTGAATCATTTTTTTTGGAGACATCTATTTAAATTATAACGGTATGTACTCCTTGAACCCAGCAAGTGCACTGTCAGGAATTTACCTGCAGAGATACTAGCAAAGGATGTATATTGAAGTGGAGTTTTATAGCAAAAAACCTAAAAGCCTATCAAAAGGCTAAGGGTTAGCCAGGAGCAGTGGCTTATGCCTGTAGTCCCAGCTACTCAGGAGGCTGAGGCAGGAGGATCGCCTGAGCCCAAGAGTTTGAGGCTGTAATGATGTAGGATTATGTCATTGCAGTCTAGTGTGGATGACAGCATGAGACCCTGTCTTGAAAAGAAGAAAAGGTTAAGGATGACTTGAGTTATCATGAAGGCCTTCCCTGGACAGTGCAACAGTTAAAGCTCCCCAGACTTGGCGATTTAGAAATTACACTGCACATTTCTATTTTCTGTATTTAGAAATACAGAAATTAGAGTACAAGGAAGACAGGGTCTCTATGTTGCCCAGGTTGGAGCGTAGTGGCGCAGTTACAGCCGACTGCCGCCTCAAACTCCTGGGCTGAAGCAATTGTCCCGTCTAGGACTCAAAACATTCTGGGACTACAGGTGTGAGCCATGATGCCTGGATAATGTGAACACTAATTAGTTAAATGATTCAGGGCAAGTAATTGAAGTTCCTTGGCATCACCTACTCATTCACCTATCAGCAACAAAGACTCTTCGTTGCAGTCGGGGAAGAATTACTGTGTGGGGCAGTGACAGAGAGCCGCAGCTTCTAGTCAGCCACATGATCACGAGAGTAGACAACTGAGACTTTACACAGTAGTGTGTTGTCAGATGATTTTGCCACACTGCAGGCTGAGATGTTGGTCACTGCATTCTTCTGTGCTAGCCTGGCTTTTACCATCCAGGAATGACCCTGCAGTGCAGCATAGCTCCCAGAAGGAACATTGTCACAAACTGCCATCTGCCACAAGAGCTTCTGGGTTTTCCATTGTGGTTAAGAAGTTTCCCCACCTAAAGTTTTATCTACATATCCATCTTTCTCTATATACTTTGTTTTCTATGTTGGTTCTCAGTTCATTTAAGTTTATTTTTGTATCTTAAGTGTTAGATACCAGTTCACCTTTTACCAGATGGATAGCCAATTGGGCCAACATCTTTATTAAATAAAGTATATTTTTGCTGATTAATTAAACAAAAAAAAGAAAAGGTTAAGGATTAAATAAATTATGATGGTCTCTCCAGGAAATAGCTGCAAGCAATGGGCTGTTCTGAAAAAGGTGTGGCTGCGGCAGTCCCTGCACACACAGCTCTTCCTGGAAGCCAATGTAGCCCTGTAATAGTGCGTATCTTTGGAAGGAGGGTTGGAGACAGAGGGCTGCAGACTGACTTTTGAAGTTGTATATCCTTCTGTACTATACTATTTTTTTAACCACATGCACTACTTTTATTTTGGTAAATGAACAAATATATTTTTAGAAGACATTGATCACATTGCAATTAAAAAGAGGGGAAAAGCTCACCAGTGCAGGATGTGAGTCTAGCCCCTGCCTTGGCAAGTGACCATCAGCTCCATGCACATGACTGCCTTTCATGTGTAGATGACAGTATTTGAGGAGAAGAATGAATTATTATGAATAGCTTACACATATAAAATGCTGAATAAATCAGTGAGTTAAAATTTTGGTTTTGGGCAGCAGTAAGGAAGCATCAGACTTGTGGGTCTCTCTGCAGTTTGATAGTTACTGGCTTCTTGTACGTTCTTGGAGATATCCTGGCCTAGGCCTTTTCTTGTCCACCTGTGAAATTTAGTTACGGACGGCTGCATCTGTCAATTATGGTTTGGAAAGACTTTTGATTTCTGAGATAAAGGAACCTTTGAAATATGAAGTGACGTTATAATGGAGATCTGTAATTTAAGGTAGAGATGTAAAGGATTTACAAAGCTGACTCCAGTGTCTGGTTATCACCCTGCAATCCCGTCTCCCTTCATCTTGCTGTCATTATGTGTGCTGGTATTCAAATTCACAGCATCTAGGAGCTCCTTATAGAGTTTATGAACTTTGAGGTTTTAAACTTCAATAATATAGGAAGTAACTGAAACAGTCTATAATCTTCTTAGTAAATTAAACATAGCATTTTCTTTTTAGATTCCAATGTTAGCCAGAGGTTGCCATTTACCTTATAATAGCCTTTTATTTGTTATAGGAGACGAAATAAATGCATATTTTATACAGATGTTTAGTGAAGTTTCCTAAAGTTTAATAAATGTGCTTTTTTTTTTTTATTGAGACAGTCTCACTTTGTCATCTTTGTTGGAGTGCAGTGGCATCACAGCTCACAGCAACCTCCAACTCCTGGGCTCAAGCAAGTCTCCTGCCTCAGCCTCCCAAGTAGCTGGGACCATAGGTGCCTGCCACAGCGCC